GCCCCTGAACCCATCCTCTCTGCTCCTGGAATCCTGTTGGAGGTGAATCTTCTTATGAGTTCTTTTTATTTTTTTTTTCACATTTTCTTACTTAAAACATTTTTTTCAATTAGTTTACATTCAATATTATTTTGTGTTAGCTTCAGGCGTGCAGCATAGGGGTTAGACAACCATATACTTTACAAAGTGGTCCCCCCTGATATTTTTAGTACCACCTGGCACTGTGCATAGTTATTACAATATTATTGACTATATTTCCTATACTGTACTTAACATTCCCGTGACTATTCTATAACTACCAATCTGTATTCCTCAATCCCTTCACCTCCTTCACCCAGTCCTCCAGCCCCCTCCCCTCTGGCAACCATCAGTGCATTCTCTGTATCTGAGTCCGTTTCTGTTTAGTTTGTTCATTTATATTGTTCTTTAGATTCCACATATAAGTGAAATCATATGGTGTCTGTCTTTCTCTGACTGACTTTTTTTACTTAACATGATACCCTCTAGGTCCATCCACAGTGACGCAAATGGTAAGATTCTTGACGCGCTGGGACTAAAGACCCTGCTCGTGGCTGATGTTAAAAGAACCCAGGGCAGTAACAAATGTTGGAGGGATGTAGAGAAATCAGAACTCTTGTGTGCATTCCCATCATATTCTGGTGGGAATGTAAGACAGTCTTGCAATATGATCACACAGATAGCATCTAATGATAATAATAATTTTTTAGATAGATAAAAAAATTTAAAAACGAACTCAGAGATACATAGAACAAATTGGTAGTTGCCAGAGGTGGGGCATAGGGTGGGTAAAATGAGTGGAGGTGGGCAAAGTATATCAACGTCCAGTTATAAGAAAAATAAGACCTTGTCTGTATTAGCGTTTCCTGAATGTGTTTCAGGGACTGCTAGCCTAATAAGGAACTAAATTTTTTTTTAAGTGTGAAACATCTGGAAAATTCTGCATACTTTATCTGCTTTTTTGAAAGGTTTAATGAACATCAGCACAGAGGGCTCTGAGAGGTCCCACAGTAAAAGAATGTGTTTGACATTGTATAACTCAGTAGTTTAACCTTAGCACTATCGCCAACTCTTTTCTCCCTTCCAACTCTTGACATTCCATTAAACAGTTGTTCTGTCTCAAAAAAAAAAAAAAAACCAACAACAACAAAACAAAGAAAAAGATCTGGACTTCATGTACAACATGATGAATATAGTTAATAATACTCTATGGTATATTTGCAAGTTGCTAAGAGAGTACATCTTAAAAGTTCTCATCACAAGAAAAACGTAACTCTGTGTGGTGAGGAATGTTAACTAAATTTATTGTGGTAATTGAGGCAGGATAGTAAGAAGCTAGGAAAATTCCTTGGCAAGTGGAATGGGGAAACTAAGCTAGATAGCTGAACAAACTGGCCGAGCAATTTACAGCCAGATACAGAAAGTCCCCAGGGCGGAAAGCTCGGGGTGCCTAGCAAGGGGCAAAACTGGTGTAAAACCTCGCCCCCAGCGTGGCCTTTCCTCCCCTGGCATATCACTCGTCATGCACTTTAGATTCCCTGACCTTTCATATCGCTGGCCATGAGGTTCTGACCCTCCCCTGACCTTTCCTCCCTAGAAATAACATCTAGGCCTCAGTTGTATTTCAGCTCCAGGCCCAGAAAAGCCGCAAACCAGTCAGGCAATGCCAGGACCAGCTGTGATGATTAATTATCGACCCCTGGTGCTGGCCATTTAGCAGATACCACGGCCAACCATAAAAGGGCATACCTGAAAAAGCTGATGAATATTCTACTGAGATCTCCCCTGAAAGCTCCCCTAAAATCTCCCCCTTTGGAAAGCAGATAAAACCACTCAATACAAAGAAGTCAGTGCCTGGCCCTTCCTGGGGCAGGCCCACTTCAATCTCCTTTTCGAGTGAATTTTCTTTCTCCTGAACTCTAAGGGACCCCAGGAGACTGGGGGAGCATTGGGCAGTGTCAGCTCATCCCAGGCTATTCCCCTGAACCTGTCCCCAAGGCCCCCTTTTCTCTGACTTCCCAGTGAGCCAAACAGCCCCACCTAGGCTCACTTCTTTCCTATAACATTTCTAGAGAGTCAAAGCAGCTCCACCTAGGCTCTTTCCGGTCACTTCCTCTATGCTAAGCCCTTCCTTGTTTCACTGTCCCCAGCTCTAAAAAACGTACTCTCAAAATCACCTGGACTTGCATTGTGAAATCTTTCCTGCATGAAGGACCCACACTCTACCAGCCATCCCTGCCCTGGGCCTGGGCCCTTTCCAGTGACAGTAATCATTTTGCAATATCTACATATATCAAATCTTTATGTTGTATACTTAAAACTAATGCAATGTTATATGTCAATTGTATCTCAATTTTTAAAAAATAGAGTAAACAAATAAATTTGTACACAAGACTACATATCAGCATTATTCACAATGACCAAAATGTGGACACAAAAAAAATGTCCATTGATTCACAAATGAATAAAAAAAATTGTGTTATATCACACAAAGGAATATTACTTAGCCATAAAAAGAAAAGAAGCACTAATACATGCTACAACATGGAAGAACCTTGAAAATATTATGCTAAGTGACAGCAGCCTGATACAAAAGGCCACATATTATGTAATTCCATTTATGTAAAATGTCCAGAATAGACTAATCTATAGATTTGGGAGGAAGAGAGAACTGTGCAGGAGATTTCTTTGGAGAATGATAAAATCATTCTGGAATTAGATTATAGTGATGGTTGCACAACCTTGTGAATATACGAAAAAACAGTGACTTGTATATTTTTAAAAGCGAACCTTATCGTACATGAATTATATCGCAATTAAAAAGTCGGCCCACAGGACAAACATCCCTACCCCTGTGGGATATGGGCTAGATGCTTGAAATGCCAGCCCTCTCCCTGGCCATAGCCATGCCTCAGGTACAGTGTGCTCTGTGGAAAAGCACTCTCTTTGTCAGCTTCCTTCCCTCTCAAGGTCATTCATTTATATTAAACCCCAGCTGGACAGAGCTGTTTGAGGGCTGGGAGGGTTAGGCATGATTGATTCCCTCTCCGAGCTCAGAAGAGGTCATCCCATTCCAGTCCCCATACATTGCTCATAGTTGCCTCTGGATGGAGCCCTAAAAGGGTAACTGAAAGCCAGGCCTCCTCTCCTGGTGACTGTGAGGCTCAGAGGTGAGTTTGGGGGCTTAGTCTTTGACTCATGCCTGTCCCTTTGGATTCTGTGTGAAGACATGTTCTCTTTCGTGAGTGTGGAAGAAAAGAGTTCTCTTCATTGAAACACAAGGAAATGCCTTGTTTTAAGCCCAGAGTCTGCCTAACATAGTGTGGGCAGAGGATACATGTGCAGCCCCTGAGCCGGGTTATCTGCCTGGATGTATCACCTGTGCAGGTCACCCCACCTGTAAAAACCTGGGCTTCCATTCAACCACTCCGTGCCTCAGTTCTATGGTCTGAGAAATGGGTATAACAAACAAACCTGCCCCAGTAGGTTATTAAAGTCATAAGTGGATGAATACATATCCCAGCTAATAAACATCAACAATTTTTAATATTATTCTGCCTCTGGGAACACCATGCACACAAAGCGAAAAAGGCTCCATTGATAACAGAATTAACCATGGCATTCAATGAACTCCTTTTTCTCAGTTTTTCTTACAGGTCATTGACTACTTTGTCCAGCCCATGAATCTGAAGCTGGCATACGAAAGGGCAGGGTGACAGAAAAGTGTCATGACCCTGGCTACGCAAACAACTTATTTTAGCTTCATAGTTATATCAGAAATAGAATGCCGCCACGATAGGTTATTAAATGGCCCTTTACATGGATTGCTGATGATTCCTGTCCTCCACATATTGCTCAATACCTGGTGGAAATTCAAGCTGTGTTCCTGGTTACACACTATAACCACTAAGGGACTTGGTAGGTTGCACAAGCCCTTTCACAACTTCAATTTGCAAACGTAAGTTTTTGGTTGCTTGGTGTTTTAAGGGGTCCTGAAAGACAATTCACCACCAAGAGGAGAGAGGGATTTTTGAAGTGTTAGTTCTGAGTGGGTGTAGCTGGGGGAATGTGAGGAAGCTGGGATTTTAACTTTATTCTCATATTGCTATTAGAAAGGCACCTGCAAGTATGTTCTATGACTCAGTGATGGCCTCAATAAGAAAGTAGAGTAGTAGGGCAATAAGCATGTTTTACTCATAAGAATTTTATGCTTATTCAGGTAAGGGTTGGTCTGGTTGAGAAATCAAATGTTGCTTTACTTGAAATAGCAACGATAGAAAGGCGGGGCAGGAGAGGTATGTATTCAGGATCTCACCATTCACCGCACATAGGCTCACAGGCTCCCTGCCCACCTGCTTCCTCCAGGAACAGAGGTAAGTGCTTCAGCGGCTCCCGCTGAACAACGTGAATTGTTTTGGGAAATATGCGCAATCATGTGTCTTCTATCATGCATGCATTTCTTTCTGTAAGAGGGAATTTTATTTATTCTGCCAGGGCAAAATTCAAATACCTTCTTCATCTTCATTTGTCCTTTCTCAAATTTATTTCCCAGTAAACAAACACGCTCTTAGGAGCACTTGTGGAGAGAGGCAACCACATAGCCTTGCAGGAAAAGGCAGAGAGGTGCCTCGGAGGAGCTGGCTGGATGTTAGCCACATCGACCATGGCCTTGGCATCTGTTATAAAGCCTTTCCTTCACAGATCTAGTGCAGCCAGTTACAAAGGACAGATAAAGATGTTCTCTTTCTCACAAAACTCTTAAAATAGTAATTGTGCTAGTCTTCTAATGATAAAATTAATATACGTACTTTATAGAAGGTTTGAAAAGTAAAAAGAAGAAACACTTGAGTTGCCAGAATCCTAAAACCGAGATATAAGTTGTTTCTTTAAAAAAAAGTCAGTACACAGTAACCTTCTGTTTGGTAAAATCATTTAATGAATCTGCTGCTTTTCCAGGAGTTCCAGATCACACCAACGACACCATGAATTCACTCAGTGACGCAAATACACGCTTCGCATACGATCTGTTCCAGGAGTTCAGAAAATCAGAGAAGGAAAATATCTTCTTTTCCCCACTCAGCATCACATCAGCCTTAGCCATGACTTACTTAGGGTCCCAAAACCACACTGCATCAGAAATTCAGAAGGTAAGTGTCAGCTTTTTTTTTTACGTTGACCAGTTTGGGCTGGTCCCTCTGTTGGCTTATGTGCGTGGTGACGGATTCGGCTGTCTGCATGGGAAGCCCAGGAGGAGCCAGTATTCCCATGACTGGCCCAACTGCTTCCTTGTGCCTAGACTTCCTCTGGGAGCTGGAATGAACCCCTACCATTGCCCACCAACCAGAGGTGAGGCTTAAATGGAGAATTATTGGTAGAAGGGACACACTGACTTAAATCCATGGGAAACATCATCACGTGTCCTCAGCAATGGATGAGTATGAATTGGGTTCTATGAAGTGGCTGGTCATCACCCAGCTTGGCTGTTCAAGGAGCAAACTCTTACTCTAAAGTTTTCTTTATTCTGGTTTCTTTGTGTTGGTTTGGCTTGGGGGTTTTGTTTAGTTGTTTGAGGTTTACGTTTACGTTTTTTCTTCTATTCTTTCTTTGTTTTTGCCTCTTAATTTCCTCTGCTGCAGACAGATCTTTTGAGTAAAGTTTTCTTATTCCACTTCCTGTCTCCTCCAGGTTCTTCACTTTAATGAAGTCACAGGGAGCACACAGGGAGGAGCCACAAAAGCTCACGTGAGTCACACAGCACTTGGGTCTACAGGGAGCACTGAATATTCAAGAGGGTCAAAATTAAACTGGCAACTTCATATAAACGGAAAAGTCCATTTCTTAGGGGGTGGATACCTTTGGGCAAAATAGATTGGACAAACAGAACTGTTTTTTATTTCATATTACATACTTATTTATTTCATACTTTTGTTTTCATGAGAGGAGGTCAGCATTGTGGTTAAGAGCGTGGGCACTAGCTTCAAATTTCTGCTCTGCTGTTCACACATGGTGACCGTGGGCAAGACACAGATGCTTTGAGCCATAGTGACCTTATTCCAATAAACTAAGGGCAATGAAAGATCTGCCCCTATTCATGAAAATACATTCAAAACATTGCAACAGTGCCAGGATTGCTGGAAACCTTGATAAAAAAACAATGTGTTATTACTATTGTAGAATAACAATAATTCTAGTAACCACCATAGCACTGCTAAAAATCATATAATTTTAATTAACTCATAAATGGGATTTAAAAATAAGCATGCGTCCCAGTATATTTGGGGAAATGATTGTATGAGATACGTGGCTTGTAGCCTTAATAGTCCAAAACTCTTAGCTAGCAAGCGGAAGGTTCTGAGTCAGACAGGCCTAGCTTCAAAAATTGGTTCTGTGACATGTGTCTCCTTGGAGGAGTTATTTAATTCTCTGAGCTTCTTGTTTTCATCTGAATTAGACTGAAGACTTAGATACAGATGGAAAGCCCTTAGTAATGTGCCTTCGAGTACGACCGTTATGAATAAAGCATAGATCATAGTCAATGGGTCTTAGGAGATGATACTGCTGAGGAGTATAATAGGGCTTCATGTCACAGCATATTAAAATATACAAGTTCAACATTCTCACACCACTGATGGCTGTTAGAAATGACATATGATCTAGTCCTTAAGGAACTGAGGTTTAGTTGGAAAGCTGAGCCTAATCGCTAAGCCAATCAAAAGACAACCCAATGGAGGAATCGTACTGCCTCTGTGGTTCATAGGGGGAAAGACTGGAGTATGTTAGAGCAGAAAGAAAAAAATTTTGGATGATTCAATGGAAGAATTATGAAGGATATTTGAGGTAAAATACACCAAATATCAGAAAATAACAACAAAAGTCATCCATGGGGCTGCCACAGGTTAGGTATGAATCTAACAGACTTAAGTACATGGCTTAGTACTTACATTGACAGAGAATTCAGCAAGCTCACTTTTGATGTTTGAAGGTTGAAGAGCCGGGAAGCATACACCAGCAATTTCAAAAGCTTCTGACTGAGCTAAATAAACCCACTGACGCTTATAAGCTGAGCCTTGCCAACAGGCTCTACGGAGAAAAGAAGATTCAGTTTCTTCAGGTGAGTTTCCTGGGTCTGCCACATCCTTCACCTGCATCCTGGGCCCTCTGTCCCCAGTGACCAAATTGGAGAAAGTGAGTCACAAGAACTTGGCTGACCCACCCGGGGACCATTTTCTCAAGTGTGTCAGTCAGGACCCCTCCCCACAGCTCTGACCACTGGAGTGTCCCCAAGCCTGACAACCCACCAGTAAAGTGTGGGTTGAGGGGCGATCTTTTGTACTATATTTGGTCATGATTAAACGTAACTTAATTTGGGAATACGTAGTTGCTGATAAATTACTCTCGGCTCCTTTCTTCCTCCTCACATCAAAGGAATACCTGGATAATGTTAAGGAATTCTACCTAGCCAGTGTGGAATCTGCTGATTTTGTAAATGCTGCAGAAGAAAGCCGGAAGATGATTAATTCCTGGGTGGAAAGACAAACGAATGGTACAGTATGAGAGGATCACCCATGAAAATCACCCTGAATCCCCACCGTGCTTGAACCCTGTGCCTGACAGTGCATGAGGTACCAGGATAGGGGGTGAGACGAATCTGCAGGGAGGCTGGGGGAGGGCACTGCAGATGGTGGCATGGTCCAAGTAAATGTGGACAGGAACAAGGGGCGCCCAAGAGGGACCGCAGGACCAGCTACATGGAACACAGCTGGAGACTGATGGCATCTTTGTGGATCGCAAGTCTCTGCTCAGATCCCATCTTGCGTTCACATATTTTACTTTAAATCAGAGGCTTAACTTCTGGATTATGATCCTGTATCCTTCTTTAACTGGGAAACAAACAACTCTCCTATAAATCCCCCCCTCCTACCACCTGCCTGGCCCACTTGGCCATCCCCACAGCTTCCTCCCCAAATGCAACAGAGCGCTTGACAAAGTCTCCATCCTGTGAACCGTAGCGTCCCTCCCGCGGCCTAGGCTAAACTGACAGCGTTTCGAAGAGGAGTGACCCCAGGGAACGGTGGCTGACCACAAGGGCCATGTGCCTCAGGTTGCAGAGCTCGTGACGTTGTCCCTGAAAAGCATTCAGACCCTATTTCCTCTGAGTCATGAGCCTAAACTTGAAAAACAAGGAAGGAAGGAAGGAAGGAAGGAAGGAAGGAAGGAAGGAAGGAAGGAAGGAAGGAAGGAAGGAAGGATAGACTAGGAAGATGGGGGGGAAAACAGAGGGAGGGAAGGAAAAGGAAAGGCCAGGAGGGAGGGAGTCATGGAGGAAGGACATCCATTTGTTGAAAGAGTAGTGAAATCAGTTCACCAGTATTCAGTGTGAGATGACTGAAGTCGCCCTCAGAGAACTTGAGCACCTTCCTAATCATAACAGGGGGTGTCTTCTCCATGGGGGCAACTCCATCAGGCCATGCACCTTGTGAACTGTTTGGTCATGGAATCCCTAACGTGGTGACTTGTGCGAATAGCTAATGATCACGTTAGTGTCCAAAGCATCTTCAGACAAACCACTTCTCCCTTTCATGACAGACCTTTGTTTTTCTTCCTTTGGCAGAAAAAATCAAGAATCTCTTTCCCGAAGGTTCTCTTGACCACACCACTGTTCTGGTTTTGGTGAACGCCATCTATTTCAAAGGGCAGTGGAATAAGAGATTTGATCCAGAAGTAACTGAGCCTGGGAAATTTTGGCTGAACAAGGTACTGTCTATTATTTATTTATATAATGCAACGTACCTACACATGGAATGTTCCATTTCAGCACAGATCTGATTAATGTACAACTGCAGGTAGAGAAAAGAATTTCTCAGAGCTGCACTTTCTTGTTTTTTTTTATCATTATTATTATTATTTTACTCTATTTAGCTGGGAACACGTAAAGAAACTCTTCTCTCTAATTCACAGATGTTCCAGGTTACCTCTTAGAAGAATGTGTTTGGTATCTCAATAATATTATCTCTCTTTTTTTTTTAACTTATGCCTCTGGTCTTTGTTTTGTTTTGGTTTTTTTTAACTTATGCCTCCCTTGGCTTTTGTTTGCCACCCTAACTTACTGCAGGATACAAGCAAATCTGTGCAGATGATGCAACAAAGCCACAAGTTTAATTTTACCTCCCTGGAGGACGTGCAGGCCAGCATCCTGGAAATACCATACAAAGGCGAAGAACTGAGCATGCTGGTGCTGCTGCCAAATGAAATCGATGGTCTTCAGCAGGTAAAACCCTGTACCCCCAATTCTCCCTCCTATTGCCCAGTGTCCTCGTAGTGCAAGGCTGTGTGGGCCGTTCACGGACACGGCGCTCACGGCCTGTGGGTGAGGTCTGACAGGGCGCGAGGATAGATTACATTGTCTCTTCTCCGCATACAGCCCGAAGGAGAGGTGTTAAGGAGAACCTGGCATTCCGTCATGTTCTGAAAAATAAATAAATATCTTAAGTATCACAGTGTGTGTCACATGGAAGAATATATAGAAAATTTTAAGATCCTGGGTTCCATTAATATTCTGATAAAACCATGAATGTCAGTTCAGAAAAAAATATATACCTTGGCACGCACATAGAATATTTCACAACCATAAGAACCATGGGTATATGCCAGTTTATTCATTTGAAGACAAAAAAAACTAAGACTTTGATGTAGGTGACGCATGGAAAACATATGCAAGTTTGCCCATAAACAAAAGCAAGCAAATTAAAGCACCGATGGGTATGATTTCACACTGAATCCAGTGAGTTTGTGGACAGTAGACAAATCCATTCATCTTGATGTTCATGTTTCAGTTTAGAAGCTCCTGTCCCTAGGAGCTCAAAGGCCTTTGGAGTTTCATTCCTGTGAGAAAAGAAAGAGGAATTTTCCTCTTAGCGTTGTGATAAGTAAAGATAATGTGTAAAAACATCAATCACAATAGCTCACATATTGAGGAGTTGCAAGTATGGCCATCGGCAATTCCTGTAAGCCAATGACACTGCTGGAGTTGCAGGGAGCTCGCCACTCAAAATATATATGTGGCGACCCTGGCAATGGGCAGCGCTTCGGGACAGGAGCCTGGCGAGGTGTGTGAACAGCCATCGCCACCTCGGCGCTCCCGCTTAGCGGCCCTCCTGATGGGTGACATCAGGAGCCCCGGTCCTGGGGTTTACCCTACGCTAGCAAGTCTAAACAAGGCAAAAACTTTTGGACCAAAGTGGCTAAAATAATGAAAATTCAAAACAAGGAACAATAGTGTAGCTTCGTATTGCCAATAGTTTAGCCTAGAGGCTGACACCCAGTAAATGCTTAAAAAATATTCATTACGGGAAGATATACATGTTGACCATCAATTTAATGGTAGTATTATATAACAATTTAAACTCGATTAAAGAAACATATAGCTACATGGGAAATGTTTACCAAGAGGTCAAGCAACAGAGAAGAATAAAAATAAGTTACATGCTATAAATTGTAAAAAATTATGTACAAAAGGACATTAACTAGAAAGAACAATTTTAAATTGAAACATGCAGCCCGGCTGGGCGTGGCTCAGCGGTTGAGCATCGACCTAGGACCTAGGCGATCAGGGTTCGATTGCTGGTCAGGGCACATGCCCGGGTTGCGGGCTGGGCAGCCGATCAATGACTCTCTCATCATTCATGTTTCTGTCTCTCTCTGTCCCCCTCCTTTCCTCTCTCTGAAATCAATAAAGATATATTTAAATAAATAAATAAATAGAAACAGGCAGTGGGTGGGCAGTTAAGAAATGGAGATAAATAGCTCATCTTTTATGAAATAATTTTATTTAATGTTTCTATTGTTTTATGTATATAATACAGAAGATTATGTTTATTATATATAATATATTTCTGTATTATATATATTATATATATATTATATATTATATTATCTATATATTATATTATCTATATATTATCTATATATTATATTATCTATAATTATAGATTACTGTATATTGTAGAACTAAGTGACTCTCCCGTGTTTATGTTTGCGTGCCATCCACCCAACGTTCGGTTGTGTCCGGTGCCCGCTGACCTGGCGCCTGCCCTTCCCCGTCGCCCAGCTGGAAGCAACGCTCACCGCTGAGCACCTGGTGGCGTGGACGCGCTCCCGGAACGCGAGCCTGAGAGACGTGCGCTTGCAGCTGCCTCGCTTCGCGGTGGAGGAGAGCTACGGCCTCAAGGCCACCATGGCGGCCCTGGGGATGGTGGACGCCTTCGACCCGAAGCGCGCTGACTTCTCAGGCATGACAAGGAGCGGGGGTCTCGTGCTGTCCAAAGTCGTGCACAAGTCCTTCGTGGAGGTGACGGAAGAGGGCACGGAGGCCGCAGCCGCGACGGGCGCAGGAGCTGTTACCACCTCACTCCCCGTTTATACAACGTTCCGCTGTGATCACCCTTTCCTGTTCCTCATCAGGCACAACAAGACCAGCAGCATTCTCTTCTTCGGCAGGGTCTCTTGCCCGTAGGTGCGATTAGGGCGCCACTGCTTTAGGGGAACGGTCGCAGGGTTGTTCCGGGACAGGGACTGCGGGACGCGGGTTCTCTTTAGCTTTCCTTTCCAATCTCTAAGAATGCAACGGCTGAGAGAGCATGTTTGTCTGTCTTTCTCTTTCTACAAACACATGTAAACATACTTTATTCCATCTTTGGGATAAAATGTTCAAGGGGAGGTAAAAGGATATTTCAGCACTCTTCTACATTTGAAATAACACATTTGCTGCTAAAATTATATCTACTATTCAAATGATCTATAAAAATTTTATCTACTCTTCAAATTTATTAACCTTACACCTACATTTGTTTAAATTTATTTACATCTGCTGTAACATTTCAATCCAATGTTAAATTGTGTTCAATGTCCACTGAGAATCACATCATTTCTATTTTTCCCTTTGGGGCCCTGGCGTGTCTACGCTTTTTGATTTTATGTAATGCATTATCAATAAAATGGTGGCCTATTCATATTATTTGTTGCTTTTCCTTAGTCATAGATGAAAGCAAGCCTCACAATGTTGTGTAAATGAAAGGATACATACCTAGTTCCCTTATGAAATGATGTTGTCCTGTTCTGGGAAAAACCGTCACTGTAGAACCTTGTCAGCGCCACCAGATCGGGGCTCTGTCAGAATTGTTGGTGCTGCATGCCCGGGGCACACACAGGAGTCAGTGACTATGTGACGAATGAATGAATTATTGAGTCATTCCCTTTAAGTCTCTCAGGGGCCTATTATTTCTTCTATAAGAACTCATTTATAATCCTATTATAAAGGACATCATAAAAATCCAATAATGTATTTATTATATACCTCACTGTGAGTAGTGTAGGACAGGCCATTTAACAAACAATTATTCTGCACCTACTATGTGCCATGCTGGATTAGGCAGCGGGTTCTCTGATATAGGGTGACAAAAAAAATACATAAATAAACCAAGCATCCTGAAGGCCAGAATAGGGGAGCCAAATTCAGCACACAAGCAGGTCAGCATTTGGAACAAATGCCCTAATGTTGATGGTCGAGGCAGAGTTCAAGTTCTGGAAATATAATAGCAGTACGGATGCAACACATCTATGTAAGTACCTGAAATCAGTCAGAAAATAGCTATTGGGCAGTCAGAACTCTAGAAATCCACAAAACTTAAGGATACCATAAGTGAGGCAAACTCAGAAATTCAGGAAGACTTTCACAATAGACCCAGAGGCCAGAAGTCACTGACAGTTCTGCCCTCCCAAGTGGCTGTGTGTTATCCCTCAGAGGGTAGGGCCATCCCAGGGCATAGAAACCCAGGGCTAGGCCATTGCCATCTAGAATCTTAACATCTAAGGCTGCATTATTGCCTCTGTTTCTGATAATTATGTGCCTTAATGGGTGGAAACCAGAAACACTCATACTCCAAAATATCGCCTAAGATGATTCACGTTTCATTTGAAACTAAAAATGCACTTGTTTCCTTTCTAAGAAGGACTTCTTTTACTTATATTTTATGTCTAACAATAGTTTTTGAAAAAGCAAAGCTTGCATTCTTTTGAGTACACTCTGAGTTAGATAGTGATCAGACTCAAATGAAGTTTACCTTTAGATAAATTGCACATGACAAACGGAGCGTTCATTGTCTGCATTTCACCTCCCTGCTATGATGTTTATTCCAGAGGTTGCACATTAATGACCTCGAAGGCAACGCCAGGGCAGCTACTGCAGAGGATCCTAGAACTCTGCATCCCAGGACTGGTGAGGCCCATCGCAACATTGGGCTCTTGCTCATTAGAGCATGTCCCAGATTGCACAAACGGTGGTGCCAGGAAGGCCATCCTTTCCAGCCCAAGACCCCGCCCTCCAAATACACATCTGCAAAAATATGGCAGTTAGATCAGTGCTCAGGGGTCCCGGGACCTTCTGCTGACCCCCAGAGAAAGGCATGGAAAGGGTGTTAATTTTAGAACCAGTTATTCTGCCCACACCTTTTGCAGTGAAAGGTTTTGGGTGAGGCAATGAGATAAAATTTACTTGGAGATGCAGAATGCATAACAAATATAGGCTCAGATTCTGAAGCCCACAAAAAGCCATGGTTGCAAGGCAACTACCCAGCCTGAAATGAAAGAAAAGACAAGCACCTCCAAGGAAGGACAGGATGCCAGCACTGACTTGCCTGGGGCAGAACATGGGAAGAAAACAGAGCCCCAGACAAGTGCTGAAGGCCGAGTGTGGGTAGCACCAGGGTATAGAACACCTGAGACCTTAGCTACAGAGGGAGTTTATACCCTGTCTTCACCACAGAGGTTCTTGGGTGCTCACAGAGTGTCTTTAAGCTAGCTAGGAAGAAAGCCCCTGAGCTCCCTTCCTTGGCACCTGCAAGAAGTGCAAGCCAAGCAATTCCATTTTGACCAGGCACAGGAACCCTCACCCAAGCCCAAGTCTTACCCACAGTAAAAGCCCCCCTGGGTCAAGTAATAAACCTCTTCATACCTTCTTGGTGCATGTGTGGTATCATCAGTATCAATGTTCAACCAATTTTTTGTGGGGGGGTTGGGGGAGTCCATTCTATCTCCATGGGATGACCACAGCATCCCACTATATGACGTCTATTTTTAATGCAATATTCAGATGATATAGCATAAAATTGTACACTTGAAATCTATATAATCTTATTAACCAATGTGACCCCAATAAATTTAATTTTTTAAAAACTCACTTTAAGTTTAAGGACATGTCTAAGTTAAAATGAAAGGATAGAAAAAGACATACCATGCCAACACTAGTCATATAAAAGCCTGAGTGGTTATGTTATCAGACAAATCAAAGCTCAGGAAGGACTATGTTCGGGGATGGGGAGATATTGACATATAATAGACATATAGATCAGTAGAGGAACAGAGGATCAGAAACACACCCACACATGCATATGTCACAAAGTTTCCAGGGTGATTAATTCATCAGGTAAGGATGGTCTTTTCAACAAATGGTGCTGGAACAACTGAATGACCACATGAGAAACAATGAGCCCCAAACTTTACTTCACAATAATTAATTGAAAGTAAATCATAGGTCTAAATGTAAAAGCTAATGCCATAAAAGTTCCAGGAGAAAACATAGAAGAATGTATTAGCAAACTTGAGATACGCAAAAAATTCTTAAATAAGACAGAAAAAAAACAGAAATCATAAGAGAAAAAAATTAATGAATTGGACTCTGAAAATTTTAAATTGCTCAATGACACCAAAATTAAATTCATATGGCTGACATAACACTTTTATTCAGAATATATCAAAGACAATTACAAGTCAATAATAAGAAAACAATTTAATAAAAGAAGGCAAAAAAAGAGCAAAAAAATTGAATAGACATTTCACAAAAGAAGATATGCATACGACCAACATGCACATGAAAAAGGTTCTCAACATCATCCGTCATAAGGGAAATGCATAAATTAAAGCCACAATGAGGTTCCACCTTCACACCTACTGGAGTGGGTGTAATGAAGAACACTGGCCACACCAGCCACTGGTGATGGTGCAGAGCAACTGGGATGCTCAGACATCGCTCGTAAGAGTGGAAAATGGCACAACCACTTTGGAGAATATTTTGGCGGCTTCTTATAAATTTAAATGTGTACTATATATACCATAAGACCCATCAATTTCACTCCTTGGTGTCTACCCAAAAGAAATGAAAACACATGTCCACACAAAGACTTATGCACAGAAATGTGCATCGTAGCATTATGCACAGGAGCCAAACACTGGAAACAACATAAATGCCCAGTGGGTAAATGGACAAACAAAATGTGGTTTATCCATACAACAGAATACTGTTTTTCAATAGGAAGTAACTGATACCCCAACAACATCGAAGAGCTCAGTGCTCAGCAAAAGAAGCTAGACACAAAAGAGAACATACGATACGAATCCATTTGAATGAAACCCTAGAAATGACAACTGTACCCTGTAGTGATTGAAGGCAGGTCAGCAGGTGCATGAGCTGGGGCTTTATGGGGTGGTTGACAGGGAAACAGAACAGGGGACCTTGGGGAACGATGAATATGTTCTGTATGTTGAGTGTGGTGGTGTTTGCACAGATGTATACATTTATCAAAACTCAAGTTGTAGGATTAAAATGAGTGCATCTTTTTTTATGACCACATTGACTTCACAATATCAAGATGTTTGTGCAACTGACAATGAGTGATTTGCTCTGCTAGAGCACAGGGTGGAAATATGGGCATCCTCTCTGCCTAGGACATTGTTTGACTTTGTTCTGGCTTTTGAGTTTTAATTTGTTTCGCCAATGTGTTTCTACATTCTCTTTCCTATGCGCAGTTTGCCGCACTATCTGCAGAGAAAGAAAAAAGTAACACATGAATTGAGTAAATTATTGTTTTATTTTACTTTTCGTTATCATCTTTCAAAATATTAGAACTAGAGGGACCCAAAAATCACTAATTCATAGTCTTTACTGACGAGACTGTTACTTTCATTGGTGCATAAAACCACGTCATTAATTTACTTTCAGAAGAAATCAACCGCATTTTATTACTAAGCCTTGATTTAAGTCACTTTATACACGACACAGACAAAAGGACATTTCCCTTTTAAGGAAAATTATAAACACACACACCCAGCGCAGTCACTAACTCATGCGCTTTGGTGGTGAGATTGGAATGCAAGCCAGGAAAGCAAATCGCTGTAAAGAACGGGCTGTTCCCACAGTCCTATTAATCCTCCAACACCGATCTCCCGCCAAGCCAGCGGCCGGCCTAAGGAGAGAAGAATCTGCCGAAGAAGATGATGCTGTCGGACCCATTGTGCCTGATGAAGAACAGGAAGGGGTGGTCGCAGTGAAAAGTTTCATGGCCTGGCGCTGATGTGACCCCGAAACCCGCCCCGGTGGCCGCTGCAGCCTCGGTACCTTCCTCCGTCACCGCCACAAAGGACCTGTGCAGGAACTTCTGGGCGTGCAGCCCTGAGTGCGGGGACATGCCCGAGTAGTCAGCCCCCCGCTCGCTGAAGGCGCCCCCCAAGCCCAGGGCGGCCAGCGCCGCCTCCAGGTCGTAGCTGTCCTCCACTTCAAAGCGGGGCAGGCGCAAGTCCACAGGCCTGTCCTCCAGCTGCCCCGGGCTAGTCCACTCTACTANATCATCTTTCAAAATATTAGAACTAGAGGGACCCAAAAATCACTAATTCATAGTCTTTACTGACGAGACTGTTACTTTCATTGGTGCATAAAACCACGTCATTAATTTACTTTCAGAAGAAATCAACCGCATTTTATTACTAAGCCTTGATTTAAGTCACTTTATACATGACACAGACAAAAGGACATTTCCCTTTTAAGGAAAATTATAAACACACACACCCAGCGCAGTCACTAACTCATGCGCTTTGGTGGTAAGATTGGAATGCAAGCCAGGAAAGCAAATCGCTGTAAAGAACGGGCTGTTCCCACAGTCCTATTAATCCTCCAACACCGATCTCCCGCCAAGCCAGCGGCCGGCCTAAGGAGAGAAGAATCTGCCGAAGAAGATGATGCTGTCGGACCCATTGTGCCTGATGAAGAACAGGAAGGGGTGGTCGCAGTGAAAAGTTTCATGGCCTGGCACTGATGTGACCCCGAAACCCGCCCCGGTGGCCGCTGCAGCCTCGGTACCTTCCTCCGTCACCGCCACAAAGGACCTGTGCAGGAACTTCTGGGCGTGCAGCCCTGAGTGCGGGGACATGCCCGAGTAGTCAGCCCCCCGCTCGCTGAAGGCGCCCCCCAAGCCCAGGGCGGCCAGCGCCGCCTCCAGGTCGTAGCTGTCCTCCACTTCAAAGCGGGGCAGGCGCAAGTCCACAGGCCTGTCCTCCAGCTGCCCCGGGCTAGTCCACTCTACTAACTCCTCGGGACTTATTTTATTTATCATCTATTAAGGAAAGGGGGGGGGCAAGATTATCAATAAAAGTTTGAAACAGTTTAACACTGATCTGTATCCGTCAGAAATCATTAATTTTAGTAACAGCAGTAGAAATTTCACTAGACCGTTGTCTTTATATAGCAGGCACTTGTCTTATATTGTCTCTATTTAAATTCTCTGTGCCTATGTGAAAAGTCAATAGCATTTAGTGAATTTTTAAAGATAAGAAATTTCTTATTCCATCGATCTACTGCATATTATTTCACATCTTACTATTCCCCTAATGTCTTTGCATGCATATATATTATATATTTTTTATAGATAACAAAATATATGTTTATGTAAATTATATAAGCAAATTATAATTAATATATTATATTATTGTAAATAATGTAATGTTTATTATAATATGTAGTACATATTAATACATTTACATATAAATTATGCATTTACATAGTTGCAATCACAGAGAATGTCTGGTTTATTTTTTATAATGTAAACTTCTTTACACTACTGCATATCTCTCCTAAATATCTTTAATCTGAGAGATATTTTCACCAAATTGATAAATTTTCCCCAACATTCACCCATTCATTCACTTTACAAGTATCTATGTATCATGCATTGTAATAGATAATAGATTATGTTGATACAAAACATAATTATGATGATGAATTTCAAACTAGGTATCCTAGTGTATTTAATGCAGAAATTTTTAATTGACTCAAAAAAGGCAATTTTTTCTCCTGAATTATTTCCTTGGGATAATTTCCACAACTGGGGTGTTTGAGTCAGAGCAGGAATACTCTCAAAGCCCTTAAACATACTCCTATGTCGCTGTCCCACAGTGTTGTCCAATGTGTAACGAATTAGCCATGTTTCACAGCAACGGGACAACATCCAGTATTATAATAATATATGTGATAGGTGCTATATTGTTATAATACTGATGCTGTTCTGTGCATGTTATAGAGATAGAGACAGAGACACAGAGATAGAGACAGAGACACAGTCAAAGAGAGAGAGAGACAGAGAGATAGAGACAGAAACAGAGACAGAGATAGAGACAGAGACACAGACGAGATAGAGACAGAGACACAGTCAAAGAGAGAGAGAGACAGAGACAAAGAGATNCTGCATATCTCTCCTAAATATCTTTAATCTGAGAGATATTTTCACCAAATTGATAAATTTTCCCCAACATTCACCCATTCATTCACTTTACAAGTATCTATGTATCATGCATTGTAATAGATAATAGATTATGTTGATACAAAACATAATTATGATGATGAATTTCAAACTAGGTATCCTAGTGTATTTAATGCAGAAATTTTTAATTGACTCAAAAAAGGCAATTTTTTCTCCTGAATTATTTCCTTGGGATAATTTCCACAACTGGGGTGTTTGAGTCAGAGCAGGAATACTCTCAAAGCCCTTAAGCATACTCCTATGTCGCTGTCCCACAGTGTTGTCCAATGTGTAACGAATTAGCCATGTTTCACAGCAACGGGACAACATCCAGTATTATAATAATATATGTGATAGGTGCTATATTGTTATAATACTGATGCTGTTCTGTGCATGTTATAGAGATAGAGACAGAGACACAGAGATAGAGACAGAGACACAGTCAAAGAGAGAGAGAGACAGAGAGATAGAGACAGAAACAGAGACACAGACAGAGATAGAGACAGAGACACAGTCAAAGAGAGAGAGAGAGACAGAAACAGAGACAGAGACAAAGAGAGAGAGACACAGAGATAAAAATAGAGACAGAGATAGAGACAGAGCGAGAGATAGAGTATGGTCTCTAATCGTTACAATAACACTACACATTAAAAACCATGAAGCCCATTTTATAGACGGAAAAATATTGAGTTTCAAGGAAGTTAAATAGCTTGAAAGGACACAACGCTGCTAAAGAGGAATCAGGGTCTGAAGCAAGGCCTTCCTGGCTTCAAAAGCACAGTGCACCGGCCACGCCAATACGTTAGCGGCAAAGTGGCAGGAAAACCTGCAGCCGCCGGCGCCCAGCACAGCCCCTCCTGCAGGCTCACCCGGCACTAGCTCGGGGCGCAGGGCCCCCGGACGCCGACGCGAACACGGGCACTGCGAGGCCTTACCTCCTCCAGGCCGTCGACGTCGTCGGGCAGCAGCAGGAACATGCTCAGGTCGCCGTTCTTGTAGGGAATGCCCAGCAGTTTGGCCTGCAGGTCCTCCAGGAGGGCGAAGCTGCAGGAGCGGCGCTGCGCCATCATCATCACAGGCTTGCTCGTGCCCTGCGACACGCCCGGGCACCCGCGTCAGGGCAGGGCCGCCGGGCCAGCCCCCGGCCGCCGAACCCGCAGGTGCTGCCCCCACGCCCTGACGGAAACGCATCGGGGTTCACATCCCGTGAGCACGTCACTCCTGTAAAGCACCGCACCTTATCCAGCCAGAACGCCTCCTCCTTGGTGTGCTCTTTCTTGAACGCCCTGTCCCACTGCCCTTTAAAGGACACCACGTTCACCAGCACCAGCTTCGTGGAGCTGCTTAGAGTGGCATCTGGAAACAGGTCCTTGATTTTTTCTGCAAACGACAGCAACAGAATTGGCCCATCTTCAATATGTTAAGTGATATGCGTGGCAGACACCAGGCAGGGGGACTCGATGGGTCCTTAGCCTTGGCCAGGCCGGCACCTGCGAGCCCTGCGCAACAGGCTCACTGCCACCGCCTGTTCATCCCAGGGGACTGAGGTGTGAGGGGTGAAGAGCTCAGGCTCTGCCATCTGATTGCCTCTGTGAGCACCCAGTTTGGCCTCTTATCAACTGAGGAATCTCTCTGTGCCTCAGTTTCCACATCTGTAAAGCAGGAATGAAACCTGCCTCATAGGGCTGCTGACAGGAGTGATTTATTACATGGATAGCACTTAGATCCCTACCCGGCTCACAATAGGCACTCAGGAAATGTTAGCTATTATTATTTTTACCCACTTGATATGGTTACCACCTGAGATTGAGAGATTTCTTACTTTATTGGAGAAGGAGCTGACATTCTTGTCTCTGGGTTCAGCCCACCTCAAACTCAATTCTAAAGAGTATTATCTTCGACCAACCTTTTGGTAGACCCTTTATTTTCCTACTTTAAAACCTTTTCATAGACCCTTTATTTTCCTACCTTTAAAACCTTTTATTTCCTTTGGATTAACTATGAAGAAAAATGCATTCTGAAATGACAGATGTCTCCCTGATAACTGGAATAAAAAATGTGATCTGGAGCTCTAACGCTAAAGTATCAGCTATCCCCCGCCCCCGGGTATTTGCATATCACCTCTCCTCTCGGGAAGTTCTTGAGTGTTTGGCTCCCGCTAGGTGGGTAATGGGGAGGAGAGGGTGAAGTGAGGACTTTGTCACGTTCCCTGCTGTGGATGGGGCTGAAAGTTGTTATCACCCCCAAGTGATGCTCAAGTGGAGAGCAGGCCCAGGTAGCCCCAGCTGTAGGTAGCAAAAGTGGGTCTTGATGAGAGAGTTGACTGTTTCTCACTTGATAAAGAGAAAGGAAACCCTCTCTGACATTTCCACTTAAAGACCCAGACTCAGACAGAAAGGCTCTGATATAAAGGAAAGGATGTGAACCCGAGCAGACATGAGCCCAGTTTCAGGGCCCTCAAAGTTATTGTGAGGCACAACCATGTGCAAATAATTCTCCACTAAGTGTTTCCATGGAGTTGGCTCCTATGACCCCCTCCCTGGTTCTCCTTGACCCTCTCTACCATTTGCAGGGCCTCTTCCCTCCCCTCATGCCCAGGCCTGCCCTTCTGACCCCGTAAAACCCATACCAAGTCCCCTCTCAAAGCTTGTCCACCCTGGCCCCCCACGCAGTGCCAAGCACAGGGCTTCACTCACAGAGGGCACTCAAGGAGCTTTTTTATGATGAACGACCCATCCATACTCTACCATGTGTTTGGCTTTCAACCCAGGAATTAATCTTCTTTCGACTTTCATCTGCTGCATTTATAAAATCAACAGGTTCCAGAGATGCATTGTAATATTTCTCAACATAATCTAAGTATTTCTTTAGGAGAAACAGGGAAGGAATAAAAAGAGGTTGAAATTCAATGTATCCATTGCCAACATCTCCAAATGAGTTTAGCTGTATATCAAGATCCTTAACATTGTAAGCAGGGATTTTGAGGACCTGGGCAAATCACTTTGAACACTTCCGTGCATATTTTTATGCAGGTGCAATAGGGTTAAAGCAAAAATCAGATTTAAATTGCCAAGTTTAAAAAGGAGTTCTCGAAGGGCCTGGATGTCTGAAAAACAGGCATGGGGGACAGCAAGTGATCTGGGCCAACCCAGGCAGTCAATGTAGGCAGCATGCCACCAGGACCTACAGTCCCAACAGGGCCACTGGCCATTCACGAGCATGACTCACAGAGGTGGTGGACACAGCAATACTTACTTGAAGGAAAAGGTATGTCTTCTCTCCAAATAGCCTGTTGGCTATTTTCAGCTCATAATAATTATTGAGTTTGCTTAGTTCACTCAAAAGCATTTGGAATTGGTGGTGTATCTCTTCTGTCTTCTCAATCTTCAAAATCAAAACAAAAACTCAATGAGTTATCTTAGCAAAAGCAAGCCTAGGTTCTTCCCCAGGAGGACATGGCTGCTGGGCCTTTCCCTCAGCTTGGCAGCCTTGAGGATGGCCCATGAGTGTGGTATATTCCCTGGATGTCAGGTGGCTTTTACACAAATCATCTGATAAGGTAAGTCACAACTGATCTCAGCTCCACAAAGAAGCCTGCTCCTTGGCCCAATACCACAGATCTTGCTTTTCTGGCTCGGGCTGCATTTTTCATCTCAAATGTAATTGCCCACCAAGTGTTTCATGTGCTTGCTTTTAGCTCCTCGCAATACTAAGTAACTGAGGAAAGTAGATGATTCTTCAGGTGACTCTTATCCACTTTAAATTTGGACATATCTGTTCTATACAGTGGATAAGAAAAGAGACTTTTGGTGGTATAAGTAGCCATTTGTCAGAGCTACACACTGGGCTGAAGTGAGACTTTTTTCCTTATGTCTAGGAGGGGAAAATAGCTTATGTCTAGATATTTTTTGTAGAATCCATCAGTTTTCTGATTGAGGACTGAGGAGTGAGTGCTCCATGGCAGGGCACTCTGACACAGCTCATGTCCCTAAAACAGAGAGCAAGACCGCTCCCCTGCTTGTTAAGTGATGTCTGGCTACTTCCATCTGCGCTGGATGCGAGGGAGAGACATTTTAATTTTGAACTGAAAACCTTACCCTTAATTGATGGCACTAACAGAAAGGCCTTCTTCCTCTAGACTATAAAACCCATGAGTCTTTTGTTTGTTTCATCTTTTTATTTCACTAATGGCTACTCAATGGCCAAAGTAGTAGCTGGCACATAAAAGACATTCAGTTGATTCTATGCATAACCAATAAACATTTGAAGACATTCAAATGGAAAGTGTAAAAGTGTGCTACTCAAGCAAAATATCTGAGGTTGAATTTGACCTTTGGCTCCCTCCTTGTTACTATGAGCCTTTAAATGTCCAGTGATCATTCATGACTGAGGTTGACTGACATGTGACATGAGCAGATCAGGGTATTGAAGCCTATGGGGAAAATGGACTGCTATAAAGAGAACGGTGTAATCANTTGAAGCCTATGGGGAAAATGGACTGCTATAAAGAGAAGGGTGTAATCGGAGTATTTCTCCAGTGGGCCGGTTGTGACTAAGTTGACCTGAAAATGGAGAAAGGGAGTAAAAGCCTACAGTCAAACAGGTTTGAGGTCTGAAATCATACTACCTCTGTGGACTGGGAAACCACAAACTAAGAAATTAACTTAAAGTGGCACTAGGTTGGTAACATTCCAAGATCTTATTCCAGAAAAAATTATCTATATTAGAAAGGTAACTGCATCTCAGGTTTCACAGGACTACCATAGATTACCAACCAAATATTAGTTCATATTCCAAAACTACAAATCATGAGAAAATAAGTCTCACATCAAGAATCAGATGAAAAAAATTGCAAAGAGCCATATTAGGCCCTCAGGACTTTAGATGTTGATATTATCAGATATCACACTTAAAAAGTGGCATATTGAGAAAAGATATCGAAAATATCTTTGAGAAAGAGGAGACAGTTATCAAGTTCCAAGTTGGTTTTATAATCAACTAGAATCTCTATATGTTCAATAAACATTGAAATTTAAAAGCTCAATAGATGAGTTAAACAGCCAGTTAGGCACTGCTAAATTAGTAGACTAGATAGAGCTGAATAATTGTCTCAGAATGCAGCTCACAGACAAAAAGTGATGAAATATGTATGACAGGTGAAGAAATCTAGAAGATAGAATAAGAATTCTAGCATTCTTCCAAAAGGCAAGAAAGAATGGAGAACATGCATTATTTAAAAAATTAATTGGCTAATTTTCCAGAATTATGGAAAGTATGAATTTTCAGAGCCCATCTGGTGTGGCTCAGTGGTTGAGTGTCTAGCTAGGATCTAGGAGGTAATGGTTCAATTCCTGGTCAGGGCACATGCTGAGTTTCAGGCTTGATCCCCAGTAGGGGGTGTGCAGGAAGCAGCTGATCAATGACTGTCTCTCATCATTGATGTTTCTCTTTCTCTCTCCCTCTCCCTTCCTCTCTCTGAAATCAGTAAAAACATATTTTTTAAAATTACGAATTTTCATATTCAGAAATCACAGTAGATCTTAGTAAATAAAGAAATCCACATCTAGACATACTATAGTAAAATTCAGAAACAACAAAAACAGACAGCAAAACTTAAATGCAGCCAGAGAGATCACCTACTAAAGACTGACAAATAAACCAACTTCTTAACAACAACATTGGACATGGAGAGTAGAATGCTATCTTCAAAAAGCTGGAGAAAATCTCAACCTAGAATGCAACATACAATTCAATATTCATTCGAGAACAAACAAAGCCCAGTGCAACCTGACAGCATCTACCATGAGCTAATCTTTACTAAAGAGGCTTCCCAGGAGTGATGTCATCAAGATGAGCAAATAAGAAGCGCCAGACTAGAGATACTGACTTAACAACAATACAAGAAACAAATACATTTGTAAGATATCCAGAAATGAGTTAAGAGGTTTTNACAATACAAGAAACAAATACATTTGTAAGATATCCGGAAATGAGTTAAGAGGTTTTTGTATCCCATTGAGCATGAAACCAATTGCACTGAATCCTGGCCAAAAAATTCACGGCATTTATTCACCAGAATCCCTACACACACATAAACACACACACACACACACCCCATGATATGATCAGGGGAAAACTCCCAACTCCCAAATTATCCCTGGGGAGAGAAACGGAAGAGTGCAATGTACATCCAACCTTCTGANGGGAGAGAAACAGAAGAGTGCAATGTACATCCAACCTTCTAGCTTTCCCAGAAGCTGCCTGAGGGCTTGGTTCCTGTCTGGCCTGAACCTAAGTGCCCATAGGAACAGGGCACCAAGAGAGCCCCTGAGAACAAAGGCAATTAACATTCATGAGTCTGCAGTACCACAGGCAGACACCAGGGGTCCTCCTGAGTAGAAATCTGCAAACTTCTTCAATCAGGAGGTTACCCGCATTTACCCAAAGGGAATTCATCCCCAGAAAAGGCTTAGCGGTCTCCAGGATCTCTAGTCAGCAGGAATTTTTTTGTTTGTTTTTTTAAATCCTTACTCGAGGATATTTTTTCCATTGTTTTTCAGAGAGAGTGGGGGGGGGGAGAGAGAGAAACATCGATGTGAGAGAGACACATCGATTGGTTGCCTCCCGCATGCACCCCAACAGAGGCCGNAACATCGATGTGAGAGAGACACATCGATTGGTTGCCTCCTGCATGTACCCCAACAGAGGCCAGGGATGGAGCCTACAACTCAGGTAAGTGCCGTTGGCTGGAATTGAACCCAGGATCCTTCAGTCCGGATGCTCTAACCACTGAGTCAAACTGGCTAGGGCTCTAGTCAGCCTGATTTTTAAAAGATATTCTTGTGTGGCTGAGTTTCCAATTGCCAGATCCCAACAGAAGACAACAAGCATGCAAAGAAACGAGGAAATGTGACTCAATGAAAGGAACAAATTAAATCAACAACCTAACTTTACATCTCAAGGGACAAGGGAAAGAACAAACTAACCCAAAAGTTAGGGTTACATTTAAAGCAGAAATATGTGGGACCAGGAGTGGCTCAGTGGTTGAGCATGGGCCTAGGATCCAGGAGATCGCGGTTGGATTCCCGGTCAGGGCACATGCCCGGGTTGCGGGCTCCATCCCCAGTTGGAGGCTTGCAGGAGGCAGCCGATCAATGACTCTCTCATCATTGATGTTTCTATCTCTCTCTCCCTCTCCCTTCCTCTCTCTCAAATCAATAAAGATATATTTTTTAAAATAATAATAAAGCAGAAATAAACAAAATAGATAGTAAAAAAGACAAAAATAAGAGTTGTGGGTTTTTTTTTTAAAGAAGATCAACAAAATTGGCAAATCCTTAACTAACTAAGAAAAAAATAGAATAATAACAAAAATTAGAAATGTCTGGAAATAAAAAGGACTATTAGGGACTGCTATGAACAAGTATATATGTGAAAGTAATGAATAACCTAGAATAAGCAGATAAATTCCTAGGAATATACAACCACCCAAGACTGAATGATGAAGAAATAAAAATGTGAACAGACATAAATAGTAAGAAGACCATAATCAAAGACCTCTAATAAAGACAGATAGTTTCATTGGAGAATTCTGTCAAATATTTTAGGAAGAATTAATACCAATCCTTTGTAAAGTCTTCCAAAGACTTGAAGAAGAGGGATCATTGTCAAACTCATTCTATGTGGCTAGAACTACCCTGACACCAAAACCAAAGACATCAGAGATGAAAACTATGTACCAATAACCCTGATGAGTATTGATTCAAAAAACCTCAACAGAATACTAGCAAACCAAATTCAACAGCACATTAAAAGGATTATACACCACAACCAAGTAGGATTTATACCTGGAATGCAAGGACGATTTGACCTAATAATTCATATCGAAAAACNCAAGTAGGATTTATACCTGGAATGCAAGGACGATTTGACCTAATAATTCAGTCAATGTAATACAGCACATTCATATCGAAAAATNAAGTAGGATTTATACCTGGAATGCAAGGACGATTTGACCTAATAATTCATATCGAAAAACGAAACCCACATGATTGTCTCAATTAATGTAGAAAAAGCATTTGACAAAATTCAGCACCCTTTTATGATTAAAAAAACACACCCAAAAGACTAGAAATACAAGAAATCAACCTCAACGTAATAAAAGCCATTTGTGCAAAATCCACAGATATTATCACACTCAGTGGTGAAATGAAAGCTTTTCTTCCAAAATCAGGTAAAGACGTCCACTCTCACTACTGCTGCTTAACATATTCAACATAGTACTGCACATCCTACCCACAGAAACTAGAGAAGAAAATTAAAAAGGGGAATGCAAATTGAAAGTAAAAGAAGTAAAATAATGTCTGTTCGCAGATGACATGATCTTATATGCAGAAAGCCTTAAAGAGTCCACAAAACGAGTGACAGCTAATAAATTAAGTCAGCAAGTTTAGATACAAATCTACATTCAAAAATCAGTTACATCTCTATACACTAACAAGGACCAATCCAAAAAGTAGTAATCCCATTTACTTAGTACAAATAACCCCATTTACTATAGTACCAAAAAGAATGAAATACGTATGTATAACTTAACTAAGGAGGTAAAGGACTTGTATACTGAAAACTACAAAAATTTGCTTTAAAAAAGTTAAAGAAGATACAAATAAGTGGAAAGACATCCCATGCTAGTGATTGGAGAATGCAATATCATTAAATATCTGTATTACCCAAAGTGATGTATAAATTAGGTGCAATCCTGATTGAAATCCCAGTGGCATTTTTTAAAGAAATAGGGGAAAAATCCTAAAATTCATACAGAATCTCAAGGGACCCTGAGTAGCCAGAGCAATCTGGAAAATAAAGAACAAAGTTGGAGACCTCAGACTTCCTGATTTCAAAACATACTACAAAGCATCAGTAAGTAAAATGCCGTGGTACTGGCATAAAGAAAGATATAGGTACCGATGGAAATAATAGATAGTTCAGAAAGAAATCGTTGCTTAAATGGCCAAATAATCTTCCACAAGGGTGCCAAGACTACACAATGAGAAAAGGACAGTCTATTAAACAAAAGTGCTGGGGAAACTGAATATCCACATGAAGAAGAATGAAGTTTGACACCTTACCTTAAACCACATACCACAAAAAAAAAAAAACAAACTCAAAATAGGTTAAAGACCTGCAATAAGACCTACAAATATAGAACCACTAGAAGACATAAGGGGAAAACTTTAGGACACTGGATTTGGTAACGATTTCTTGAGAATGACATCAAAAGCACAGGCACCAAGGCAAAAATAGACAAATGGAATTACATCAAACTAAAAAACTTCTGATCATCAGACAATCAACCAAGTGAAAAGACAGCCTGCACAAAGGGAGGAAATACTTGCAAATGATATATTTAATAAGGGTTAATATTCGGAATATACAAGGAGCTTCGACAACTCAACAACACCACCACCACCAAAAATAAACCAATGACAAATATGGGCGAAGAACTTGCATGGGCAATTCTCCAAAGAAAGCATACCAGTGGCCAACAGCATCTGAAAAGATGCCCAACATCGCTAATCATAAGGAGAGTGCCAATATCAAAACCGCAATGAGATATCGTCTCACACCCATTAGGAAGGCCACTATAAAAAGAACAGGAAAGAGCAAGTGTTAGTGAAGATGTAGAGAAGCCAGAACCCCTGTGCATTGTTGGTGCAAATCTAAAATAGTGTAGCTGTTACGGAAAATAGTATGGAGGTTTCTCAAAATTTAACAATGGAATTAACATATGATCTAGCAATCACACTCCTGGGAATGTATCCAAAAGAATTCAAAGCAAGATCTCAAGGGATATTTGCACATCCATGTTAACTGCAGTTCTTCATTCACGACACCCAAACACTAGAAGCAACCTAAGTCTCCATCAACAGACGAATGGATAAAGAATACGTGGTCTATAAATACAAAGGAATATTATGCAGCCTTTAAAGAGAAGGAAATGCTGTTGCATGTGTCAACACGGATGAATCTCAAAGACATTATGGTGAGTAAAATAAACCAGTCACACACAAGCACACAAAAAAACAGATATTGTATGTGCATATGAAGTATCTAAAGTAGTCACAATTATAGAAACAGAAATTATCAATCATCAATCACCAGGCCCAGGAAGTTTTAAATCCAAATTCTGAACAGAATACTAGGTGTGTTTCTAAATTTATAAAAACTCTTCCAGAGAATAAAAAAAAAGAGGAAACATTCCCCACCTTATGAGTCTAGTGAGACTTTGATATCAAAACTAGAAAAGGACAAGACAAAGAAAAATAGTACAGATTGATTATGTTTATAACATAAATTTTTTAAAAACGCTTAAAATATAACCAAATCCAATTCGATAATGTATAATTTTAAAAATCATGATCAAGTTGATTATCCCACAGATGAAAAAATGACAACATTAGAAATTCTATTAATGGGATTCACTCTTTAACAGAGAAAATAAATCATTGATCACCAATAGATACAGAAAAATATATACTTATTTATATGTGTATGGAAGGATAGATGGATGAAAATGTATTGCTGGGGATTGTAAGGCCGGTGGGATCTCAGGTCTGACTTTCTTCTTACAACCATATGAAATGGGCCTGTATACACTGCTGAGAGCAACAGATGTTGGAATCAGCCCTTTTGCAAACATTAGGTAATATTTAATAAAGTGGAACCTGCATACACCCTACCTCCCAGATATATGCTATAGACCAGCGCTGTCTCGTAGAAATAAAATGCGAGCCACAAATGTGAGCCACATACTATGTTAAAATTTCTAGTATCTCTGCTCTTTTTTTCCTAATTCCCACAAAGGTTCTATTTGGGAGGGTAAGTGCTCTCAAACCACTGTGCACCTTGACTGAGTGGACAGCGGAGCAGCTACCTGCCCCAACTCTCATACAGAGCCTGGGAGGAAGCCTGACTCTCCACGTAGGCACTGGAGGAACCCAGACGACCTGGCCGTGTGGGATGTGAAATGAACAGCCCGTATGACTGGGTGACTTGACCCCTATTTTTAAGAGGGTCTGGGACTGAGCTATAACTGTCAGGGCAGATGTTCCCTTCCTGAGAGCTCTAACCATCTCCAAATGTCAACCCCAACCTTCGGACTTAACCTCTCTCCCATGTTTGCATACTCTGTCCTTTGCACGAGGCATATACAACCCTAGAGCTGGAAGAGACCCCAGGAAGTCATTAATCCTGTGCGAATATTTTTTTTTAAATAAAACATCAGAGCAGGGATAGGGGAAACAGGGAACTTAAAATAAAAATACAGTGTAGAGCCCTGCCAGGCCTGGCTCAGCAGTTGAGCATCGACCTAGGATCCAGGTGATTGGGGTTCGATTCCCGGTCAGGGCACATGCCCGGGTTGCGGGCTAAGCGCCCGATCAATGACTCTCTCATCATTGATGTTTCTGTCTCTCTCTCTCCCTCTCTTTTCTTCTCTCTGAAATCAATAAAGATATATTAAAAAAAAAAAATACAGTGTAGTAACAATATCACCTATACCACCATGCCACCACTGGGCAAGTCACCAGTGTGTTCCAGGCACTCTACTGGGCACTCTACAAGGCCCAAAGAAGATGAATAATTTGCCTAAAGCAGCACAGCTGTTAACTGACTGGGTCAGGATTTGAACCCATGTCTGTTTACCTCCAAACCCATCCACTCTGCTGTAGGGACTCCTCAGTCTGCTGGCCTTTACCAGTATCTATCATAGTGGTTAGTGTGCATTCAAGATAAGGTCTCCTCTTAACACTAAGGGTTTGTTATAATTGTATAACCCTAGTGACACTGTTTCACTGCTGTGATTATTACTGCTTAAAATAGAAAGTGTGAGGTAGTCCCTCTTCCACACATTTCCCCAGTGAGGCCACATCTGCAAAGCCACCTTAGTGACGTGGTAAGGCAGGTCTCCCACCTCTTTTTCCTCGGCTTTCGTTCTTGAGTTTTCTGTGTCTTTTTCAGAGAAGAGCACCTGAAAGGGACAGAAAATACGGTGGTCAGAGCAGGGAAAACCTCCCACAGAATCAGTCAGGGGATCGTGGGCATTTGTTAAAGTCTCCTCAGGGGCACACAGATAACATTGGTCTCCTTGCAAAATCATGAACAGTCTGATTGTCTTCAGAGGAGCCTGCAAATGCTTCGCCCGTGCATGTCTTCATCTTTGATGTGTCCTTTATAGCCTAGTGGGGGTTATGCAACTTCTCCTGATAGGTCTTTAATTATCAGGTTAATGGTTTTGGACGGGGCCTCACCCAGCCCTCACCCGGAGGAATTCTGAGTGCCAGGGAGCAGATGGCCTGGGGAATCTGGAGAGGGAAGAGGGCTTTACTGATAGGCCTAAAGCCGCTTCATGTCTTCACACGCTTTCTTTGTTTCCTGGCCCATGGGTCAAGAGGAGCATGTTTTCCAGGTAATTCTAGAGGGCTCACCCCCAAAAAAGGCTGCTCGAGAAGCCGTGGCAGCCCCCCACCTACCTTCTGCAGCTGGGCAGCGGTGGCCCCTCGGGCCCCCAGGAGGAGCATGCCGATGGCAGTCGAGATGCTCGCGGGGGAAAAGAAGACGTTGCCACTGTTTCTTTTACTCAGCTCTTTGAAAAGATCAAACCCAAACTGAGTGGTCGCTGCTCCAAGCGACTCCATGAAGATTCTAGAGAGATCTAGAACAGCAACAGCAATCAAAACCAATACAAATTAATACTGAGTGTGAACTGTAATTGAAAAATATTATTTCTCAAAAAAAAAAGAAACAACAAACCAAATGAGCACTTTTCACTTGGAATTGCTTTGGGTCATGGGAACCCTCCCTGCTTCTCTCTCTTGCATTGATCCATAAAAGAGGGTTTATGGACTATTTCAATAAACAAATTAAAGTCAGACACAGAGACAAGCCTGGACTTGAGCTGCAGAATTCTCAGGAGGCGTTTCAGACTCACCTCCTCTGACAACGATAATGGCCACCAACCCCTTTGGAGGTGATGGGTATGTTTATGGCCTTGATCACGGTGATCAAGTTGTGTACCTTAAATATGTAAGCTTTGTGCATATCAATTATACCTCAATAAAGTATTTTCTTAAACTTAAAAAGAAAGAAAGAGGGATTTCCCCCCTCTGGGTGGAAGGTCCCTGCTGCGTGCTCTTCGCCCCTTCGCTCGGCCTTCTCTTCAGCAGAGACGCGCACCAGCCGGGCACCGCCCGGTGCTTCTCGGTTCTCGGTTCCCCAGGGAGCAAGGTGACCGCCTGGCGCTTGACTCTCCCTTGCTCTCTGTCAGGACCTGCCTGCCCGCCGCCTCCTCCCTGAGGTAAGCTCCCAGGCAGGCCCAGTCCTTGCCCTCCTTGCCCGGCTTGTCCAAATGAGGGACCCATGGCCAGGCCGGGGGAGGCGGGGGAGCCCCATGCCGCCGGTCCAAGCATTGTTCCCCCGGCCAGCCTTAGAAATAATCAAGCCAAGAGTCATCCTTCTCTGATACTTTCTCAATTGATTCAAAATCCTGTGCAGAGGCGATAGGGTAAATTAACTCTCTTAAACCCCAGTCCCTAGCTGCATGAAAACTTGACTCTGGGCTCAATTTTTCCTCCACAATAATGACATATAGATTATTAACTGAGAGTGAAAGGCTTTCCTTTTTATAATTTTCTATATAGTTTTGAGTTTGTACAGTGAGTTCATATTACTTTTGTTATCTCATCAAAAAAAATTTAAGAACAATTAATATTTACCCAAAATAAACAAAATACATTTTATATTTTCTTCACCTCCAGCTAGCTGTGTTATAATTAGTTAATAAAGGCTTTAAGAAAAAAAAAAAAATCCTAAAACAAGAATGAGATTAGGCAGAATAAAATTTTTTGACAGCCTACATACTTAGGGGAGCGGGGTGTCTTTGCCATCAAGGGCCCACCGCTGCCTGCTAGGGCATCCGACATCTGCTGTGGAGATTTCCATTTCACCCCAGGTTGCCTTGCAGGTTAACCCAGAAATACAATGAATTAACTTGCTGTGAAACAACACGAAGAAGATACAGTCTCATGGCTATGTAGACACTGAATTAAATCAGATCACCCCAAGGAAAGTTATGCACAATAAAAGGTCTTCTTTCAAATCAACAAACATTCTCAAAACACAAAGAGTCTTCAGTTGGAACTGAAGAAAGAACTTACCTGGCTTCTGGAGAGACAGAGGTGGCTGAGCATGGACCCGGGAAGCACGTGTAACATGAGTAATTGAGATCTTTAATTTATATCTCTCTCTCTGCCTCTCCCTAGTCATTACCATTTTTGCATTTCCAGTGAAACAACCTTTGGTTTCTCAATGATGATGTCCTTCATAAAATTAGCATGCAAGATTTATGACAAAATTGAGGTTGAATTTCCTATTTCTTTCCTTCATGGCCATGCAGTTATGCACTTGAAGTTGTGGGAAATGCACTGTCAACTGTAGCTCAAATACAATACACTTTAGACATAAAGGAGGAGGGTTGCAATTTCTCACTTCTCTGAAATCCCTCAGAAATCCTTTTAGGGTGTCCAAGTACAAAGAGATCTAAATTAACAAGAAAACAAAATAAAACTAAAAGCAGGAGCTCAACTGAGGACCAAGGGCAGCATTAGAACAGTCAAGTTAAATGAATCATGACCCAAGCAAGGGGAGACCTTAAGAGGGCCTTCAACCCTAATGATATTGGGGATCCTCTGAGAAGAATTGGTTCTCCACATTGGGTGCACATTAAAATCTGCCAGGGAACTTTAAAAAAAAAAAAGTCTATGCCCAAGCCCACGTAACTGAGTCAGCATTGCTGGGGTGGGAACCAAGCACCAGAATTTTTATCACCCCAGGTGACTTAATGTGCAGCTGAGGTTGGGAACCACTGGTTTGTAGCCACAGGAAGCTCTGAATCAATGCATACTTCATTTACCACAGATGTACAGAGCTATGTCCTAACAAGCCCCATCTCTATAATTAAGTTAACTTTGGGGTTGCATTATGTGGGGGATGCCAAACGCAAAGAAGAAATGAAAGAAACTGCCTCGCTAGAAAAGTAGTGAGAAAAAGTCATGAGAAAAGTTTAGGCAGGCAGCTAAACACACGCACATACACACACCAGCTCTTGTTCTCAAGCATCCTGTTCATTAATTATGATCTCTCATTTTAATTCATTCGATAAACATTTATTGAGATTCTACTATGTATCAGACATTGGGCTAAGCGTCAATAATTCGTAAATATCCAACAAGCTTGTTGATGTCAGGAGAACAACACTACTGAAAAAAACCTCAACAGGAAGTTCCACCTCCAAATTCCAGTTTTTCCTGCCAACCCTGGGGCACCCCTGCTGGCTCTACTAGTTCATTAAAGGAAGCAGCGCTTGGACTCAGGGCGTGGAGATCCCTCACATTAGCCAGCAGCAAACCCTAGAAGGACATCTACATCCATCCCTCCATGCGAGTGTCTGCTAGGGAAGCAGCTCAGCTCTGATGCAGTTTCCAAGGGCTGCCTGATGTGTGTGCCAATCTCAATGCTCACAGTTTGCTTTCTAAAAAAATATTTTGATTACAGCTCTTTAAGCAAACTCAAAGCAGTATGTAATTAACTTTGTTTCTAACTGTCTCTGAGAAATATGTAAACTGAGGAAGTTTGGAAGGAATCAGCACTTAGTTGTGGAGTTAACCCTGGATGCCAATGAAATGAAAAAACAAACAAAACCTCATAGATACAGATTGCCAAAGGGAGGGTGAGGGGGGGGAGGGTAGTAAAGGGGTCAAACATATGGTGACAGAACATTTGACTTTGGGTGGTAAGCACACAATGCAATATACAGATGATGTATCGTAGAATTGTGCTCTTGAAACCTATATCATTTTATTTATCCATGTCATCCCAGTAAATAAATTTTAAAAAGGAAGTAAGTATGACATGGAATCCTTGAGTTGGCAATAATGCTCTATGTTTTAATCAGTTTGTCTTTTAATTTCTTTCTCTGGGACCCTAGACTCCAGTTCCATTGCCCAGCTATTTTCATTGCCCTCCGCTTCTCCTGAAGCATTTCTCTACCACCCGACTTTCACAGGGATGCCTGGCTTTCCCCTGAGACCACCACACCCCACAAAGTCTTCAGCGGGGACAGCCACTCAGATCTTGAGATCAGGAAGCAAGGTGCCCATTTGTCACCTCTCTCCCGCTCTTGCTTTTTCCAAGCCATTCTCCCTTCAGTCACTTCCAATGTCCCTTTTTGGGGTCACAACATCTCGCTGTGCCACACTTTCCCTGACCATAGCTTCCCACCCCACTGCTTGGCACATAGTCCTCCTGTCGCCCTAACCACTACCACCCTCTGGACATCTTCACAGCCCAGGTGTGGGCATCCCTCACTTCCATGACCCTCCCCCCCCGTCTCCTCTAGAAGCCCACATACATGGCCATGCTTTGGGCGCTGCCATCACCAGGGCCTGCTCCTGCCATAAATGACTGGACACCAAAACTTCTCCGTCTGGTTACAGGTGCCCATCCTTGATCTTTAGAAACCTAATTTTCAATATCATCACAACCTCCCATCATTGGACCCCTCCTCCTTTTCCTTTCATCAGTCCCATCCAGTATCAAAACTGTCCCAAAGGTAGATAATATGTTAATAATCAGAAACTATAAAAGTGGTTTCTATGCTTATGAGTGAGGACAGAAAATAATTAAGCCCTGAATCAGAGTACTAATGAGCTTCGCACCCCATTCCAAGTTTGGCACAACCCCTGCGTGTCTGTTACTGATTCTGCCTTGTAACATTTTCGTCTCCAAGCCTGTAACGTTGTAGTGGATGCTGCTGGGGTCCTACCCAGTCTCCCTTAACCAGCCAGTGTTTCTATCACCTGCTTGCTGGCCTGGCTGGTCGTTCACATCTGCCCTTGTGTCTGTCGAATGACTCAACTAAATGGAAACCACCTACTTGGGAATACACAGTACCCCACGCCTGCCAGGGCACACCTCAGGTGTGACTCACTGGCATGAGGATATTAAAGGACAGGACGGTCCCCTTACATCAAAATAGGACTCATTTTGTAAATGCAATTTGTCATCCAGAGCATTCCCCATAGGATCCGACTGAAGCCAATCTCTTGCTGAGGCCACGTGAGTGTTTAATATGTTTTTCTTACCTTGTCCTGCTTCTCTCAAAGACAAGCCCCTATCACCTCCCCC